TTTCTTTCTTTCTTTCTTTCTTTCTTTCTTTCTTTCTTTCTTTCTTTTTTTCTTTCTTTCTTTCTGACACAGTCTCACTGCGTATCCCTGCTAATTGACTGTGTAGCCCAGGCTGGACTCACAGAGAACTGACTCCCTCTAAGTTTTACCTTTATGTTAATTATTTTAAAATAAAAAAATATGGAGATCTAAGTGCAAAATGCTAAACCTACTGAATTATGTTGGGTGACTTGTTTATTTTTCCTGATAGTGTGAGAAAATATTAAATTGGTTTTGATTTCTCTTAAGAACTTTAACTTTCCTAAGGAATGGTTAAGTAACAAAGAAATAAATTGAGACAGAATTCATGCCAATTTATGAAAATGAGCTAAGTGATTACACATTTAATGAAAGAGGAACCTAGACCAAGTCTTTTCTATCTATTTACATTTCAGAATCTCAGAAAGTTGACTGCTAGCTCCTGTTGAAATACTGGTAGTGAGTGAGAGTGTGTGCAGAATGCCTTTTGTGTATTTCTTTTTGGTTTATTGTTGCAGTAAAAGTTCAGTCTAGATATGAACAGTACTGGTGAGAGGAACATTTGCAAGGAATTACCTTTCCTTTCTTCCCAGGCTAGTGGTCATAGCCCTGTCTGATCGATAAAGACCTTGATTTGATCTTTATTGAACATGTATTCTTTCTTTTGAATTCCTAGGAAGTGCTGGAACATCATGACTCAGCAATTTGTCACGATTTCTGAAAACCAGAATGCACAAGAAACTTTTGATAGATAAGGCAATGACTTTTTGCCTGTATCTGCCTGATGATCAAGATTAGGGACCCAGGAGAAGGTGAACCTTGGGGCTGAAAGAGGCCAGGGAGGCTAGCAGGAGGAAAGGAGCCAACATTTAGAGCTGGGAGAAGTGGGCTTTGCCTTTGATAGGCTTGGCTTTCTATGGCAGATTGGAAGCCTGCTTTCCCTGTGTGTTGTTAGTTCCTGATGCTGGAGCTGAAACATGGTTGGGCTAAGTTGTCAGAAGCCTGGGTATTTCTGAAGCTTGTAGTCATTACAGTTCTGAGAAGGCACAGTTCTTCTACCCAGAGCTTCTTTCTTCAGTCTGACGATGCAGAGGAGTGACAGCTTTTAGTGGCAGCTGGCATGTGTGAAAGCAGCCTGGCCTATTAAACACAATACTGTTAAGCTGTTAAATGAAACTGCCTGTTCATGTAGTTTCCTTCTCAGTACATAGAGATAGGGAATCCAAAAGCAACATTCAAAAGGCTTAACTTTCCAACAGAAAATTTTCAAATGATGATTGTGCTTCATCTAGGTGCCTGTTTTAATAAGCGTCAGATAAAGGCACACAACACTCATCTTTCAGTTGTTTAGATGCTGCTTGTCAGATTCTAAACTATAAAAGATCGTGATCTTTCAGTGCCCAAACTAATTCTTGCTTAAGTTATGTCTTCAAAAGTCAGAGCTCTTGTAGTAAGTAGTTAACCAAAAGATGGCCTTTGGGCCTGCACTGCAGGCTTTACAAAAAGCCCAAGTGGGTGTTAGAGATGGATTCTACATGTGACCACATTTGCCTTTTCCAAGCATTGTTTAACTCTCAACCAATGCCTGGGGACTGTCAACATTATGAAACCATCTAGGCCTGTAGGCAATATTTAAAATTAATATTTGTTGCCAATAAATTTGTGGCTTAAGGTAAAACTTTTTTTTTTGTGACAGATTTGCCTACAATTCCCTGTGTAGCCCAGGCTGGCCTCAAACTTACAGCAGTCCTCCTGCCTCAGCCTTTCAAGTGCTGAAATTACAGGTGTGAGCCACCATACATGGTTATAACATTTAGATATACCTAATGAAAGATTGCTATGGTTGAGAATTATTTTTAGAAAATGAAGACAGTGTTGTTTCTTTAATTATCATTCAGACACGAGAGGACACCTTCCATTTGTATAAATCATGCTACTTTTTTAAAGAGGAAAGCAGTTACTTCCTGATTGAATTCTATTTCCATTCTCACTTTTAAGAAACCATTCTTGAATTGTCTTCTGAACACTTACAAGATAACATTGGTGTTTATATTCATT